CCGGGCGTTACTAGCTTTGTCCAAAATCTTCTCTGCCCCCTCCCCACCACGCAAACCTTCTGCAGTCTTGCCCTGATATGCTTCTTTTGCCCCCTCTTTTTATCTCCAGGCTAAAACGGTCATCCAAGCAGAAATCGATGCGGCCGCCGAGCTGGCGGACTTTTTCCGCTTCAACGCCAAATACGCCCTGGAGTTGGAGAGGGAGCAGCCCATCAGCGCCCCACCCAGCACCAACAGCCTGGTGTATCGGGGGCTGGAGGTAGGGTCGACGCTGAAGCTTCAGTCCTGGTTTTGCAGGATCTGGGGCAAACCGGGTCTCGTCTTTTGCCTTCAGCCGGTAGGGGGGGGGGTGCTGTGAAGGCAGCTCCAGAGAATTTGGGGGGGGGGAATGTCTTTGCTTCTCCACTGAGCTGCTGAGGGCTGTCCAGTCACCTTACCCCCAAGCAGGGGACTTTCCAACGAGCAGAGGGAGACAACGCCTGCCTACATGGTTGCGTTGAAAGCGTTTGCACCCCCTCCTCATTTTCAAAGCCCCCAGCCACTGGGCTTTTATACAGATTGTAAAAATTGGCTATTTATGAATCATACATGCAGCAGACTTCATTTTTCGTTTCTCCTGATAGTGAAGGGAGAAGCTGAAAGTTAAAGCAAGCATGAGGTCACCCCCCCCCCCCCATCCTTAACAGATAGCAAAATAGAAATTATCTATTTCCCACCATCACCACACTGCCTACCTTTTCCCCTTTTCGCACACTTTTTCCAGCATGAGGACTGGAATCTTGAAATGGGGAAGCCATGCCTAAGGTCACGTTCCCTCAGACTAGCCGCAGTCTGTCAAGAGGTTTGGGGCTTGCGAGGTGCATCTCTTATCCCGCCCCTTCCTCTTAAAGCCGTCCCTGGGGAGGGGGCTCACCCTTCCCTTTTCCTCACCTCTTCCGCAGGGCTTTGTGGCTGCGATCTCCCCCTTCAACTTCACCGCCATCGGAGGAAACTTAGCAGGAGCCCCAGCGCTGATGGTGAGTTCGGTGCATCCGTTCCGTTCCTTCAAGTCTGCAGCCTTTGCAAATAGCCCCCCCCCCCCCGCCAGTCTCTTTCCTGTTTCTGGGGTGCAGCCAAACACAAAGCATTCTCTGCTTCTTCCTCACCAGCTGAGGTGCTTTTGAGGATTCAAAAATTCCTTTTGCACCCTTGAGGACTAGAACCTTCCTTGGGCTGCATCTAGAGCAGGGCTTTTCAACCTTTTCACCCATTGTACCACTTTTAGGATAAGGCAACATCCGAGGACCACCAGTCGCCTAGCAAGGGGTCAAAAACTTGATGACCCCCCCCCCAAAAAAGGAAAAAAGTGATAAAGTACAGGTAGTCCTCGACATACAACAGTTCGCTTAGTGACTGTTCGAAGTTTCAGTGGCACTGAAAAAAGTGCCCCCCAAGCCACAGCCGAGCAAGACACCTGCCTGCCCACCCGACCGCGCTCTTCCTCCTGTCCGAGGTTTCCATTGTTGTGAGCATTTCTGTTGAGGATTGGCAGCGGAGGTGGGGTGGGGAGGTTGGTTTTTATTCCCCCCCTCTTGTCTGCTGGGTGGTTGCAGCAGGTTTTGGTCCCTTCACATGACCCTGGGACACTGTGACCGTCATAAATATGAATCAGTGGCCAAGCATCTGAATGTAAATCACAAGACCCTGGAGAGGCTGCAACATTCCAGCTGATCGGCGCTTCTTCTGGGCTCAGCAGAAGCGCCAGGATCAGCCCCGAGCTCCAGCTGGATCCTGGCTCTGATCCTGGCGCTTCCGCTGAGCCCTGACAGCCCTGCAGCTCCAGCCATTTCTCGCTCAGGCTTATGCGATGCTGCCACCGGTTCAGCTCATTCCCCTCCCCCACTACCACTTTTCTAGGATGGTCACGTACCCCCTGCCAGGTGCCCATGTACCACAGGTGGTACCCGTACCACTGGTTGAAAAGCCCTGATCTAGAGGGCTCTTTCTCTCTCTTTTTTTTTCCCCTGCCAGGGCAACGTGGTCCTTTGGAAGCCCAGTGACTCAGCCATGCTGTCCAGTTACGCCGTCTACCGGATCCTCCTGGAAGCCGGGCTGCCTCCCAACGTCATCCAGTTCGTCCCAGCAGAGGGCACCACATTCGGGGACACCGTGACTGGCTCGGAGCACCTGGCTGGCATCAACTTCACCGGCAGCGTCCCGTAAGTCTGGGGTCTGTTTGTGTTACCGAGGCCCCATCCTCAATTCAACTCTTTAAGCAAGCTCTGTGCATCCTCCCTAATCTTGCCCCCCCTTCTTACAAATATTGGGCATTTTTAAAACGTGCCAGTCTCCTGCCCCTTGCAGTTTTCCTAACCTCACTGGGATAAAAAGCTGGATGGGCTGGCCTCTTCATCAACAACGCCACTTGGGCCCTCTCAATGTGGCGTGGACCCTGGGCTCCCACCCTCCACCCATATCACTCCAACCGCTGTAAACCTGTAAGCGGAAGTCCAGGCACTCCGCCTTCAACCCCCAACGCTTCTCCCTCTTCTCTGTTCCCCCCCCCCCCCCAAAAAAGGTCCAATCGAGGTAGGACTTAAACAGAACGAGTAAATATTTTGAGAAAGCTTCCTGGGTCAATGCATTGTTGTTGTTATGATTTCAGTGCCCGTCCCCTGTTTCAGAAGCCCGTCGTCATTGGGTCCCAGGGATTGCAATCCAGAAAGAAAATAGTTCAGCTTTCTTAGCTCACACACACATACACACACACACCTCCCCTTCTCTTCCCTTCCTTGATTTCAAGTGTGACCAGTGCCTTGCTTTTCAAAACAATAAAAATGCTAATAGCTTCACCCCAGGAGTTCCACACTCTTGCCTTTTAATTTATGAGCTGCTCCCCCACCACCCGCTTAAGAAGCAGGGAGCCAGCCGAGCATGGTTTTCCTCCTCCTCCTCCTCCTCCTCCTCCCCCTCCTCCTCCGCATAGCGCCGGAGCGGTTTTAATAGTCACAGAGCCAGCGATTGCAAGCATTGGGGAGGGGGGAGGCCTCCTCGCTCCCCCACCCCAAGACAGCCTCTGCTGACACCGTTTGTGAGAAATACTCAACAGCTGGCCCTCTCCTTACAAAGAATTTTGTCTCCTGGTTTTTAAAAAGTTTCTGCTTTCAGTGCTTGTGGCATTGGGGGGGGGGGCAGGAAGGAGGGGAAGGAGAGACCAGGTAGCCCTAAGAGAACAAGAGGGGCTTCCCCCTAACCCCAGTGGGAGGGGGCGGCCGAGTGGGATCCCAGCAGGGTGTGAGTTTGAAAAGAGGGGTGCCTGCAGACTTTGGCACCAGCAGAGCCCCGGGAGAAGAGGGGAGAAAAGTGGGTCTTTTTTCATCTTTTTTCTTTTTTTTCAAGGACTTTTAAGCGTCTTTGGAAGCAGGTCTCTGAAAACCTCGACCACTATCGTACCTTCCCTCGGCTGGCTGGGGGTAAGAACTGGGAATGGATTTGGCTTTATTTCTTTTCCTCCCCCAGAAGGCAACACACACACACACCCCGCAGGTAGTACGAAGGGCTCATCTTGATCGTGAATCCAAAGAGCTTTGGGTAGCTTCCTAATCCATGGCACTGACTGTCTCCGGCATTGCCGGCTAACTCTTTTAAAACCAATCGGCCAAGCGGCACCCCACATGCTCAGCTGGTGACGAGCATCATGGTGGGGAAGTATTTGCCCTGCTGCCCATCTCGCAGGGAACTGGCCAAGCACCCAGACCTGCTGAATTTCTCCTAGGCCCCCCAGAACTTCCAATGTGCTGGGGGTTAATGGAAGAGGAACGTCTCCCTTCCCCCCCCCTCAAATATTTTGCAAGTTGTTTTCAGCAATTCCACACATGCCGGGTTTTCGTCAATATTTTTTGCAACACTCTGGGAGGGCAGTGCCTAACACTGGACCGTCGCCCCTCACTCGTCAATGTCTCCCTTTCCCAGAATGTGGAGGGAAGAATTTCCACTTTGTCCACGCCTCGGCTGACGTGCCCAGCGTG